CCTGGTGTGAACTAACATTAAAATCATGCTATTTTACATCAAAATGTGTCCTTTGTTTGTCATAACTATGGCCATTATTTCCTGGTGTGAACTAACATTAAAATCATGCTATTTTACATCAAAATGTGTCCTTTGTTTGTCATAACTATGGCAATTATTACCTGGTGTGAACTAACATTAAAATCATGCTATTTTACATCAAAATGTGTCCTTTGTTTGTCATAACTAAGGCCTCTATTATGTGATGTAAATGAGTTAGCTTTTTTTTATGTTCTGTGAATTTTAAGATGAAGGTTTTTATTTGTTTCTTAACAAATAATTTGGTTTTATCCGGTATGAATTCAACAAATATGAAGAGTAATAACTTGTTTGAATTTTGAAACTTGAATTTGTTTTCTAATTAGAGCATACAAAACAAAAGTAGTTTGATTTATTTCTTGAATTTAGGATTCTCAGTTACAACTAACATATTTACGGGATTTATAAAACAAAGCAGAACCTGTAAAATGTGATGTTTTTTGTACAAATTAACTTGCCAATACTTGTTTGTTGCTCACAACAAACAGATGTCAGCTCTGATGGACAAGTTTGAGAAACAGTTTGAAGACTTAGATGTCCAATCTTCTTACATGGAAAACAGTATGAGTTCCACTACAACAGTTACTGTACCACAGAATGAAGTCGAAGGACTTATGCAGCAAGTGGCAGATGAAGCTGGGTGAGACATCAAATGAAAAGCCTTTTCTAAATAATTATTGTTGTTATTTTCATAACCAAAAACTTTTAAAATGTTAAATTATTTGTCACAAAAAATATTTCCTTGTTCTTTAATCTTTAAGGTTTAATGCCAGATTCAAGTTGGTATTATATGATATCTTATCCCTAAAAAAATGTAGTTACATTTCGTATCACTGAAATAATCATGAAATGCTTTTCAAAGTAATGAACGTCAAAGTTACCTAATAATGGATAAAAAATATGAATTAACAATTCTTCTTAGATTACTCACAACTATCAAATATATTGATTTAAAGTCGAAATCTCTCCCTCTTCAAGTCTGACTTGAATTCTACCTCATAATGTTTGACTCGAAACCTACCTTTTGATCCTCAGTTTATGGGTTGATATATACAAGTGTTTACAAAATTACATTCAAAATTTAATTTAACTATTTTATTATAAATTTATTTCAAGATAGCTTTTATATGCGGGAACATCTGTTAGCTGAGTTCTTGCACAGATCTTAAAATATAATGTTGATAAACTGAAACATTGGCACATGTAGATATGTAGATCTTGAAAGTCTAGTTGTTCAAAACTTGAAAATACCATTGATAACTGGACCAATTTTTGGTTGAGAGGTTGCAAAGAGCTTTTTGCCAGACACTAATCATAGCAGAACCGTCTGGAAGATGATCTATAGGAAATAGTACAGCTTATAAAATGAGTTAGATCAACGTAAGCCAGTAAAACAATCACTGATTGGCATAGCCTTAAGCCAATCAGGATATGTCACAGACCTACTGAAGGATGTGTAGATTGTATAGGAATTCTTTTTGGCGGCAAAGGACAGGTTTATGTGTTTTAATAAAGGTGGCTTCCAAAATATAGAGATGAAAGGTTGACAAACCATTTGCAATAATTTTAAACCTGCTATCCGTTTAGTTGTCAGCACAAGTCGGGTTCACTAGTAAATCCTGGCCAATCGCTGATTCACATTTTGGTGGTAGAACTTTTGTTTTACAAGAGCGACATGGTAAATTCTTTTCTTTCACACTCTTATTTCTTATGGATGTGGGTACATGTTGTTTAATTCTATCCTGAAATCTTTGTGAAGTGCAACCTACGTACCAACATTCGCAGTGGTACGAGAATTCATAAATAACCATACTTTTCTGTGTGGTAGATATTGCATCTTTACGATTTTGAACAGATAACTAGAGCCCAATGGACTAAAGTAGCAATAAGGTTTGTTTTGCGACTTTTAGGACTGAAAGAATCACATCATGTGTATTTTCCTATAAAGGTAGGTTTTCTGTATATACTGGTGAGAAAACAAAAGTCATCCTTTTCAACTAAGACGTTTAGGAACGATAAAGAGCTATGTTGTTCCTTTTCAGAAGTAAATTTGAGAGCCGAGTGCAACGAGTTTAGGTCTTGTAAGAAACACTCGCATTCCGGTTCAGTTTTAAAAATGGCAAGTGTGTCGTCTACATAGTGGAAGTAAACAGCAGGTCTGGTAACTTTGTTGAATAGTTTTTTTCCATGGAAACCAACGAAAATATTGGATAAGGCAGGTCCAAGAGGAGAACCCATGGTGACTCCATCAATCTGTTGATACATGATATCATTAAAGTTGAATTCCACGGAACATGTCACGGTATTCATCAGTTCGATAAACAGGTCCTTAGGTATTGGAGGGTACTGAACTTCACCACCATACAAAGTATCT